ACACAGAAAATGGGATTTGTTCAGCACAGAGCATGACATTTGTTTGGCTCATGTGGGCAAAGAGATGAAGCTTCTTGGGCTCAGGAGGTGGCTGACTCAGGGGTTCCACTGGTTGTCCTGGGAGTGAGGGGAGCCATATCTCAAGCACACCTGTACCCATTCTAAGCACAGGGGCAAAAATAGGCAATTATGTTGTTAGTGGCTGCCAAGTCAATTCCGACTCATGACAACCCCCCATGTTACAGAATGAAACTCTCCATAGGGTTTTCTCGGCTGTAATCTTTTTTTTTTTAATTTTTTTTTATTGTTGTAGTTTAAATGAAGTTTACATTTCAGGTTAATCTCCCATACAAAAATTTATGCATACATTGTTATGTGACCCTAATTGCTTCCCCTATACTGCGACAGCACACCCCTCCTTTCCAGCCCTTATTCCCCAAGTCCATTCAACCATCTCCTAACCCTCTCTGCCTTCCCATCTCACCTCCAGACAGAAGCTTCCCATTTAGTCTCTTGTATCTACTTGACTAAGAGGCACACTCCTCACAAGTATCACTTTACGTCCCACAGTCCCGTCCAATCCCTGTCTGAAGAGTTGGCCTTGGAAATTGTTTTGTTTCTGGGCTATAGAGAATCCAGAGGCCATGCTTTCTGGGGTTCCTCCAGTCTCAGCCAGACCATTAAGTCTGGTCTTCTTACTAGAATTTGAGTTCTGCACCCCACCTTTCTCCTGCTCCATCAGGGACTCTCTGTTGTGTTCCCTGTCAGGGCAGTCATTAGTGGTAGCCGGGCACCATCTAGTTCTTCTGGTCTCAGGCTGATGAAGTCTCTGGTTTATGCGGCCCTTTCTGTCTCTTGGGCTAATACTTACCTTGTGTCTTTGGTGTTCTTCATTCTCCTTTACTCCAGGTGGTTGGGACCAACTGATGCATCTTAGATGGCCACTTGCAAGCTTTTAAGACCCCAGTGCCACTCACCAAATTAGGATGCAGAACATTTTCTGAATAAGCTTTGTTATTTGGCCGTAATCTTCATCAAAGCAGATCACCAGGCCTTTCTTCCACCGTACCATGAAAATAGATGACCGTTACTGGAAATAGGCTCATCATCTCTCATCATCATCATATCGGGTCGCTATGAATCAGAATTGACTTGATGGCAAGGGGTTCAGGAGCCCTGGTGGTGCAGTGGTTAAGTGCTTGGCTGCTAACGAAAAGGTTGGCAGTTCAAACCACCAGCCACTCTGAAAGAGAAAGATGTGGCAGTCTGCTTCTGTAAACATAACAGCCTTGGAAACCCTGGTGACGTAGTGGTTAAGTGCTATGGCTGCTAACCAAAACGTGGGCAGTTTGAATCCACCAGCCACTCCTTGGAAGCCCTAGGGGGAAGTTCTACTCTGTCCTATAGGGTCACTATGAGTTGGAATTGACTCATTAGCAACGGGTTTGAATTTTTTTTGGTTGAGAAATAGGCAGGGGCTGTGAGACGCTGTGTAGGATAGAAGGCAGGAGGGGTCAGAGTTCTAAGGTCCAGGCCCAGAGAGAGGCTGTCACTGCTGACTTGGTTTAGCAGTGAACTATCTCTGAGCCCTTCAGCGTGGGTGCTGGAAACAACAGGCCCCACCCAAGGCCTGGGAGCAGCCGTAGCAAACTGCTTACACGCTTACCTGGTTTTATAAAATTTGCAAATTCAGACATTTTAGCTGGAATCTGTTAAGCCTGCTATCTCTTTCCACTCTCACTTCCTCTTCATCACATTTCCACTCCTGTCAGGAGGCCTTGGTGTGGCCACAGGTACTGTGTATTTGTCATTTATTTGTTTCTTACAGAGGGCTTCCGAAATAGTATAAGCTTTAGGCCCCACCAAACCTAGAGTGGCCTCTGCCTCCAACCTAGTTTGGCAAAGGGGCAAGGGTGGGGCTGGACTATTGTCCCCACCTTCCTTTTTATGATCCTTAGGGCAGACATTCTTGCAGACCCATTGCTGGGTAGATGTTCTCTTTCTTTATGAAATTTATTATGATTTAAAAATATACATAGTAAAAATAAACAAACAATGCCAAAGAGTATATAATGCAAATTGGGTCACACAACCAAAAAAAAAGACCCAAACTTGTTGCTGTCAAGTCAATTCTGACTCACAGCAACCCTACAGGACAGAGTAGAACTGCCCCGTAGGGTTTCCAAGGAGCGGCTGGTGGATTCGAACTGTCGACCTTTTGGTTAGCAGCCAAGCTCTTAGCCACTTCACCACCAGGGCTCCAACTGGGTCACCAGCCCACCCCAGATTGCCGGACCCATGCCTCATAGGGATAATGCCACAAATATTTGCTGGTGGATATTTCCAGAAATTAAATATATATTTATTACATAAAACCAAACCAAAGGCCATTGAGTCAATTCTGACTCATAGTAACCCTACAGGACAGAGTAGAACTGCCCCATAGGGTTTCCAAGCAGTGGCTGGTGGATTCAAACTGCCGACCTTTTGGTTAGCAGCTGTAGCTCTTAACCACTTGTGTCAGCAGAGCTCCATATATATACGTATACATACATGTCTATACATATAAAATACACATACGTACATATAAAACCAGTTATTGTCCAGGTGATTCTGAATCATGGAGACCCCATGTGTGTCAGAGTGGAACTGGGCTCCATATGGTTTTTAATGGCTGATTTTTCTACTGAGGTGCCTCTGGGTGAACTCAAACTCCCAACCTTTCAGTTAGTAACCAAGGGCATTAACTGCTTACATTAATTTAAAAAAAAAAAAAAGTTGCCACCAAGTCAACTTCGACTCATAACGACCCTACAGGTCAGAGTAGAACTGCCCCATAGGGCTTCCAAGGCTGTAAATCTTCACAGACGCATGTTGTCACTTCTTCCTCCCATGGAGCAGCTGGTGGGTTCAAATCACCAGCCAAGCCAAATGCCTCACCACTTCGCCACCAGGGCTCCTTACCGTTTGCATAGCTTCTATTTTTTATATGAATGGAAGCATATTTATGCACCATTCGGTACTTAATAGACCTTATTAATCTTTCTAGGTCTCCACCTAGAGTTAGACTTAGTTCTTTTCAACCCCTGCACAGATTGCATGTGCCGAAATGAATCTAACCAGATGGGGCAGATTTCATCATGTCCATCCTTAATTAATTGCACTTGTCCTCATGATCAACTTGATCTTGCACAAGACATCACAAGGCTGTTGTCTGTTTCACGATCTTTTCTAGTGAGGTGGGTTTTCCCATCCTACATCTATGAAATCTCACTAAAACAGCCACACAGGTGGATCACGAGGTCGGTCACGATGTGTCCGGAAAGCTGCTGTCTGCTTAAAATAAAACTCTGATCCGTTAAGATTAATGATAGACCAGAAGCCTACATGGGGACAGAAGCCCCCACCTTCCCCCTCAAAGATCCACTTCCGGAGAAGAGGAGTTTAGATAGCGAAGCCTGCCCGGTGGAGGCCGCCCAGTGCTGGGTCACACGCTGAAATGAGTCAGCCCTGGTTTGTAAACCACACTATCTGGCTGCCGGTCTCTCATTCAGTTATTCGGAGTCTAAATCTTTCAGCCTGGACCCTACAGGGCGGGGCCGGAATGCAAAGCCAGAGCATTCTGAGGGAGCAGCGCCACCGCGAGGCCAGCCGTGGTGGAGGCGGCGGCGAGATTGGCGCGCTCCCAACGCAACAGCCGATCTGGAGGGGGTAATCTGGTCGGGTCGCCGGAGCCAGCCTCCCCTTCCCACCTACGACCTCAGGGGGTCTGTGTTTGGTTTGATTAAAGGAATGACAGTTTTTCTGACCCTTTCTTTTCTGCCAACCAGCCAGCAAGCCCACCGGAGAGACCCTAGCGGCTACACGAGTCCGGGAACATAGTCACACAGTAAAATCAGTTGCCTGGAGTCTGTTCCGACTCATGCAGACCCCATGTGTGTAAGAGCAGAACTGGGTTCCATACGGTTTTCAGGGGCTGATCTTTTGGAAGTAGATTGCCAGGCCTTTCTTTTGAGGTGCCTATGGGTGGACTCGAAACGCCAAACTTCCAGTTAGCAACTGAGAGCAAGTTAACCATTTGCAGCCCCCATGGACTCCCAGTCACAGTAAGTACTCAGTAAGTGTACATTCAGTGAATGAAAGTGCCCCATTAAGTGACTCTTCAGCACTCCGCACTCCATGTTTACATTACAGTCCCCATTCCGTGAGTGGGGGCTTCATTAATATCCGTCCAGGACCATTAGAGTTAGTTCCCTATGAGGAGCCAGAGAGATTGACTGCTAACCAAAAGGTCAGCAGTTCAAATCCACCAGCCGCTCCTTGGAAACCCTATGGGGCAGTTCTACTCTGTCCTATAGGGTTGCTATAAGTCGGAATCCACTCGATGGCAATGGGTTCTCATTGAGGGTAGGGGTGGGGAGTGCATAGGCTTCAAAACCAAAAATCAAACCCCTTGCATAGGGTCCATTCCGACTTACAGTGACCCTATGGGACAGAATAGAACTGCCCCGCAGGGTTTCCAAGGCTCTAATCTTTAGGAAGCCAACTGCCAAATCTTTCTCCCGCTAAACTACTGGTGGGTTCCAACCGCCGTCAAACCGGTTAGCAGCCAAGCGCTTTACGCACAGAGCCACCAAGGCTCCTTCACAGGGTTGTTGTTAGGCGCCATCAAGTCGGTTCCGACACAGGATTCCTGTTGCCCTGGAGTCGATTCCAACTCACGGCGACCGTATAAGACAGAGTAGAACTGCCCCATAGGGTTTACAAGGAGCGCCTAGGTGGATTCGAACTGCCGACCCTCTGGTTAGCAGCTGTAGCTCTTAACCACTATGTCACCAGGGTTTCTGACACAGGGTTAGGTTTAGCCAATTCAGGGCGCTTATCTGGGAGACTACAAGTTCCAGAATGCATCCTTTCATTAGCATAGGGAGAGGCCGAGGTTGCTGGAGCATTGCTTCCTGGGACTTGTAGTCTTCACCTTGTTTGTGATGCAGGCGGAAGTAGGAGGGAGAGGGAAGAGGGAGTAAACCATTGCCACGTGACGCTAGGGATCAGGTGGTTGGCCCGGCCTCCGCGCAAGACCTATGATTGGCTGACTCAAATACGATCGACGCCACTGGGGGCGGGCCAAAGAGGAGCGCAAGCGCGCTGCATTGCGAGTCTCGGGACCACTTTCCGAGACTATGGCGCTCAACAAGAATCACTCGGAGGGCGGCGGAGTGATCGTCAACAACACCGAGAGGTGAAAACACAGCGGAAGAATCCTGGAGGACTGAAGGGAGGGCGTCGATGGAGTGGGCGGCGGGCGGCGGGGAATAAACCCATAAGGAGGGGGCCCTGCTGGGGTGCGGCGGGAGGGGAGGGTAACGGCTTGGGGCGGGGCTGGAGGGAGGTGGGTGGGTCGTGGGGGAGGGGCCGGGATGTTTCGTTCAGCTGCGGGTGGGGTAGGGAGCTGGGAAGGGGAGGGGGTTCGAGGAGAGGTGGACCTCGGGTGGTTCTTGAGCCCCCTTCCCAGAGTCGATGACTTTAATAAGAGCTGGGAAGAGCCTTAGACAAACGTAATTGTCATTTATCGGGCGTTCACTACATTACTACGTGTCGAGCACTGCGTCTGTTCTACCCGATTTAATACGTGATAGTGCGGCAGATACTATTATACACATTTTACAGGTAGGGGAGCTAAGGTACAGAGAGGGTAAATAACTTGCGCGAGATCACAGACCTGTAAGTAACAGAGATGGGATTCCAGGCAGTCAGTCCTGACCCCAGAGTCAATAGCCTTAACTACACGGTATACGGTCTTCCAGTATGTTCCGGAACTGCTCAGTTTACAGAGAAGCCGAGGCTCTGAATGTGAAATTGCTAGAAGTTTACAGAGAAGCCGAGGCTCTAAATGTGAAGTTGCTAGATAACCTTTGTCTAGTGTCTGACGGTTCCTGGCACGGTGCCGGTCCTTGTAAAGGTTGGTCCCTTGCCACTTAGTCTTGAATGCCCATTGACCAGAGATCTCCAACTCCAAGGTTCTTTCTACATCCCTACCCAATCCATTCTTCCTCTCCTTCAAGGTGGGGATGGCTGTCTCTCCTCTCAATCCTTGGCCGTTGAGAATTGGGCCAGCCAGCCCTCATTTGAAACAATGGAGGGCTTCTTGGTGTCAGAAGGAGCTTAGGAACCTGAGTCCCCACAGGAGACACGATGGAGTCAGGGCCAGCACCCAGTCTGGGACCTGTCACCCAGGAGTGCTTGATGAGTCAGAGGAGACAGCTTGGATGAACTTGAGCCTCAGAATTCTGACTTCCCCTCCATATTAACCTACCCAGGATCTGATGCCCAGCCTGTTTCTGGTAATTTCTATGAGCTGTGCTTTTCTTTTCTATGACCAGTTCTCTTATCCACTTGTCTCCCCTCCCCAGTCAAGAATGTTATGGTATTTGGGAGGAGGGAGGAGACAGTGGAGCCATGTGAACTTGACCTTTTTGTTTTGTAATCAGCATCCTCACACTGCTCACTGGTTTGTAACCTGTCTGTGTGCAGCCAGCTCCTGGCTCTGGGCGGTCACCTTTGGGAACATCTCCTGGGACTGTTTTTCTTTCTCTCTCGGCAGGACTTAGTGCTGAGACAAAAATGTATTCTGCTAGTTCTCCTATCTGGCTGGGCTCCATGACTATTAAAGTAGGGTGTGCCTTGCTTTAGAAAATTCTTCAGCCTCATTTCTGAAAAAAAAAAAAATTGTGTGTACAGTGACTGAAGTTTAAAGCCAATGTTTAAAATAAACCAAACAGGTTACCACTGAGTTGGTTCTGTGTCACAGTAGAACTGGGCTCCATAGGGTTTTCAGTGGCTGATTTTTCAGTAGATCACCAGGCATTTCTTCCGAGGCACCTCTGGGTGGTCTTGAACCTTCAACCTTTGGTTAGCAACTGAGCATGTTAACCATTTGCACCACCCAGGGACTCTGATGTTTAAAACAGTGAATCTTACCTTCAAGTCGTGAACCCTTTTGAGGGTGATGAGAGTGATGGACCCTCCCAGAACAGTGAACATACACGATCATTTCAAGGGCTCCACAATCTAGTCCCGGTGGACCCAGGTTAAGAACCTCAAGTTTGAAGGAACCCTGAAGGAAGCCTTTTTGTAAGTTGTAAAGTCACGTCGTAGAATTTTTATATATAGACATAAAAACAAAACAAGAAATGGAACAGAACACATATCACAAAATAGAATCGTTAACCCAGATAATCCATCCTGCCTCTGGAGGGACTGTGGCATCTCCAGAGCCTTGTAGCTCCCCCACTGCGCTGCTCATGTGAGGGCTGTGTAAGTGGGCATTAGGAGAATTCTGCAGAACCCCAGCTCACGCATCTCATCAGTGGCTGTATTAACAGTTTCCTCCATTCATACGAGAGGAGGTGCCGGCCAACTGCTAATCGGCAACAGCTCACCTGGAGGGGTGAGTCCCCGGGGTCCAGATCCTGTCTCCATGTAGTCTCATCACGGCTTGTCCCCTCTTGTCACAGCATCCTGATGTCCTATGACCATGTGGAAGTTACGTTCAATGACATGAGAAACATGCCTGAGGCCTTCAAAGGGACCAAGAAGGGCACCGTCTACCTGACCCCATACCGGGTGAGTCACACAGAGGGACAGTTGGTTTTGAGGCTTGTTGCCGTTGGAGGCAGATGGGAGTCTCGGGTCTGCCTCGGCCTCGTGGGTTGAGTGGCCTCTGAACTCTTGCTCTGTGTTTCGCGGTCCCATGCACCCGGATTTGAGAACCACCAGCCTCCTTGTGCAGCTGACCTGGCCTCTGGGCAGTGGATCCATGCAGATTCCAGAGCTGCTGCTGTAAAGTCTCTGTGTCGTTGTGTGCGGCCGCTGGCATGACCTAGGCCTGGAGTCGAGAGGCTTTATGATGTCAGTTTCTGTCAGAGTAGCTGGTGGGACCTCTGGGCACACTCAGAGTGACAAACGTGCAAGCAGGACCCAGCATTGTGGCCACAGCCTTTGGACTGGGCAGAGCCCAGCAAACCCACAGAGTGAGAAGTGTCAGGCTACAGCGGGGCCTTGCCTAGGGGGCAGAGAGTTACCCACTCGAGCTCTGAGAGGTTTCCAGAGAATACACCTGTAGCTCCCCAAGAGATAGACTTAAAGACGTTGAAGGAGGGAAGCAGGGAGTGGGGTGTCACAAAACCCCATCTCTGGGGGTTTGAGTTGGCATCTTCACTTGCACATTGTAGCCATGGTTATAACATGTGTTACACCGAGCAAGGGGTGGGTGCCTCTACTGCTGTTGGGACAGAGTGGCATGCTGGGGGAAGGCAGCCCCGCCTCCCGGGATCTGACACCACCCTGCCGCTCCACAGATCTCAGTTCTGTGAAGCTCAGGCTAAAGGCCCACCTCCTCTTCAGGAATCCGGGCTTCACCCCTGCCTGCTCTTCCCCGAACTCTGCAGGCCCCTTTGCTCAGGCACCACCTCCACCACCTCCTCATCGCCACTGAAATCACAGAACAGTCTCTCTTTTTCACAGCGATGGCTACACGTGACACATTTTTCTGCAGCTAGACTGCACGGAAGGCCCTCTGCTTTCAGGAGCATCTGGAGCTCTGGGGCTGCTAGACCCTGGCCAGGGCGCCTCTGGCACAGGAACCGACTCATCACACACAGGAAGCAGACAGGAAGTGACTGCGGAACGGGCTCGGGTCCAGTCAGTGACAGCCTTGTCCTCTTTCCCTGCAGGTCATTTTTCTGTCCAAGGGGAAGGATGCCATGCGGTCCTTCATGATGCCCTTTTATCTGATGAAGGACTGTGAGATCAAGCAGCCTGTGTTTGGTGCAAACTACATCAAGGGGACCGTGAAGGCTGAAGCAGGAGGTGGGTGACGAGAACTCAGGGACCCAGGCGGGGCTCCCTGAGAGGTACTCCAGGGGTTCTGACTGCTGCCTCGAGCTGTCCTGTGTGGACCCTTGCCACTCTAGCCTTGACCTCGTCCTAGATCTGTATTTACTCCCAAGACCTCCACGTGGGCTGCCAGCTGGTCAGCAGAGGCAGGTTTTGGTGCCGAGAGCTGGGGAATGCTGGCATTAAGGATGGCGGCTCCCATCACCTTGCAGACAGTAAATCAGCAGAAAAACTGACAACTAAGCACAAGGGCTTATTGTCCTCCTGGGTACGTGGAAGGAGCTGGATCCCGTTCTTGGGAGGGGCCTTTTGTTAGAGCAGGGAAAGGGAGCTGCCCCTTTGTGACAAGCAGGGCACCTCTGCAGGCGCCTGAGACCTCTGCGTTGAACTCGCCTCCCCCACACCAGCTGGGCCAAGCCTTGCTGTTGAGGAGCTCATGGTCTCCCTTGGGCCGCAGCCAGGTTGGAAGGGCCAGAGGCCCCCGCAGACCTCCAGGCTGAGAGGTCTGCTCTGAGCTGGAGCGTCAGCTGTTGCTGCGGGTACCTGTCCGTGTGAACCTGCCAGTTGCTGTGTAGAAGGTGCTGAGAAATCCCCTTGATGTTAGATCCAAAGTCCAAGCGTGCTTCCCGGGGTGGGGGTGGGAGGTCCAGCCCCTGTTCGGAAGGATCCCGCAGGCACGTGGGCGGCAGGCCTGGAGCAGCAAGGGGACGGGAGAAGTCCCGATCAGATTTCACCTGCTGTTTAGCCAGCCTTTTCCTGGAAGCCTCCAGATGTTGAATGGGGGCCTATAGAGGCTAATAGCCATCTCTCCGGACATAACCTGCTTTCTTTTTCCGAGCTGTTTGTTCACTCTTCCCTTCTCAGGTGGCTGGGAAGGCTCTGCCTCCTACAAGTTGACCTTTACAGCAGGGGGCGCCATTGAGTTTGGACAGCGAATGCTACAGGTGGCGTCTCAAGGTATTAAGGCTCTGAAGATTAGGGACCGAGAACACCCTGAATGCATGGGGTTTGTTTTCCTTATTTGTTTGAGCTTGTTGATTCTTTGTTTCGTTATTTAAGCACTGAAGAGCTCGGTTCCTGGGCTGACTGGGGCTGAGAGTTGGCAGGAAGCCTATAGTTGGCATCGACCCTGTCCTCTCCCTCAAGTACTGCTCCCCAGCCCGCCCCAGCGCAGGTTTATGGCATTTTGACAAAGCTGTTCGGACGTGAGGACATTTTAACAGGACTTTGCACAAACAAACAAAAAACCCAACTACTAAACGTGCACTTTATAAATTGCCGAGTGCTGTGTTCAGTAGACACCCTCGCCTCGCCCCGCCCCTCACCCAGCTACTCCTTTACCGTCCGCGGTCCTCCCCTCTGTCCGTCCTCTACCCCTGCCCTGGACCTGTCTGTTCACCCTCCACCCCTTCCCTGGACCCCTCTCTCCACCCTCCACCCCTGCCCTGGACCCCTCCCTCCACCCTCCACCCCTGCCCTGGACCCCTCTCTCCACCCTCCTCCCCTGCCTTGGACCCCTCTCTCCACCCTCCTCCCCTGCACTGGACCCCTCTCTCCACCCTCCACCCCTGCCCTGGATCCCTCTCCCCACCCTCCACCCCTGCCCTGGACCCCTTTGTCCCTTACGTCATCCCTTCCCGCAGCCAACTCAGGTGGGGGTTGCGGAGGGGCATCTGCTGTGCACATTTCTGGACCTGCAACTTCCTCAGCAAGTGATGAGGCCGCCCTCCCCCCAGCCATCTAGGCAGGTGACGCTCACGTCTCTCTCCCCTTGTGCTTATAGCCTCCCGAGGTGAAGCCCCCCACGGAGCCTATGGGTACTCTTACATGCCCAGCGGGGCTTATGTCTTTCCCCCGCCCGTCGCCAATGGAATGTACCCCTGCCCTCCTGGCTACCCCTATCCACCGCCCCCACCTGGTGAGTGTCCTTTGCTAACCCCCCACCCACCCACTAACCACCCCCACCCAGGCCAGGGGGTTGCCAAGGGAGACTTGCTCTTCGACCTGCTGCAGGAATAACTAAGGAGCTGGCCAGGCCTCGGAGGACTCCATGGGCAGCCTTCCCCAGGGAGCGGGGCCAGGGTGCTCACTGGGTCCCTGTCGCTCTCTTGCCAAGCAGAGTTCTATCCAGGACCTCCCATGATGGACGGGGCCATGGGGTACATGCAGCCCCCGCCACCGCCCTATCCTGGGCCCATGGAGCCCCCAGTCAGCGGCCCTGACGTCCCTTCCACTCCTGCAGGTAAGGCCCCTGGGGTGCTGGCTCCTGCTAGCAGTCTTCCGGGACCGGCCTTCTCCCATGGGCACGTACAGGACCTCAGAGCATGGCAGCAGGCTGGCTGGAGCCCCACAGGATGAGTGAGCTCTGGACTTAGGAACTTCCTTAAGCTCAGGGATAGGACACTTCCGATCAGAAGAGGCCATGTTGCGGCCTGGTGGTGAAGGGGTGGAGTCCAGTCCCCACTCCATCCCTTAGCTGGCCAGGAATGCCTCCCCACTATATCTGTTTTCTTATCTATAAACAGGTAGTAACAGTTATTAGAGTCCCTGAGGGGTGCAGATGGTTAACTCTCAGCTGCTAACCAAAAAGTTGGAGGTTCGAGTCCACTCACAGGTGCCTTGGAAGAAAGGCTTGGCAGTCTGTTTCTGAAAAATCAGCCATTGAAAACCGTCTGGAGCACAGTTCTACTCTGACGCATGGGGTTGCCACTGAATCAGAGCAGACTGGTGGTTAACATTAGGACCCCATAGGATCGTGGTGAGGACTAGGTGAGGGGGAGACACACAGGGGCAGGAAAGGTCACTGCCTAGCGCGTGGTGAGCGCTCTGCACACTGCTGTTGTTATTGGTGGGTCAGGGCTGACCCTTCCACCCTGGGCTGAGCTCGGTGGGAAGTTGGAAGAGGAGAAGGGCTTGTCGCCTGGGCTCACTGTGCATGTGTGTTTGCTCTCGTGCAGCAGAAGCCAAGGCTGCAGAAGCAGCTGCCAGCGCCTACTACAACCCAGGCAACCCACACAACGTCTACATGCCCACGGTGAGCGCGCAGCGTGGCACAGCCCGGGCCAGCCCCTCTGCCACGGTTTACTGGGACCTAAAGGCAGGGAAGACCGCTGTGAACCTTCTGATCTTTTTTTCTTTTTCAGAACCAGCCTCCACCACCTCCCTACTACCCCCCCGAAGACAAGAAGACCCAGTAGACCCCTGATGCTGCACTGCCTCCCACCGCTCATTGCTCCTTCCTGCCCCTCCACTGGGGCCAAGTTGGGGGCTGGGGAGGTGTGGGGAGGACCTTGTTCTTCCAGGTTGGATGATAAACAGCAAGCAGGAACTAGCATTGGTGGGAGGGAGGGACCCTTGTCTGGAGAGGTGCTTCCCAGTTTCCTACACTAGCTCAGAGCCCATGGGCACTGTCCGCTGAGCTTCCCTCTCCATCTCTGGGACTTGCCTCAGGAGCTCGGGTGTCCCCCTTGTTCCTGTTTCCCTCAAGTAGCTTCTCCCCAGGGAGGGACTCTGGCCACCTCCTCCACTGCAGTCCAGTCTCTTGTCTTGGTAGCCACTGTGTATCAGCTGCCTCTAACCCCCTGAGCTTGACAGACCAGGCCTGGAAGAGAGTCCAGCCCCTTCCGCCAAGGGGCCCCTGCCAGGCCCACCCACATTCCCTGCGCTGGCCTAGCCCTGGCGGTGGGAGGCCACAGTCCCGCCCAGATGTCGGTCCACATTCCATTCCTGGCCCAGGCCCAGCCCCAGCCCCGGTCACACGGCCTTCCTTTCCCTTTCCTGTCCTTGGTCATTCTGTTGCCACCTCTATGTGACTTTAACGTGGGCTGCCAGGGCTTGGGTGGCATCAGGCCAAGGCCACGGTGGCTGAGAGAAAGCCCCTCTGCTTCCCTGCGCGTGTTTCTGGAATTTGTTTCCCTTGCCTTTTCACACTTCTTTTCCTCTAGAAGGGGCTTCTCGGACTGGAACTGGAGAGGGCATGTCCATCCCATCATGTCCCCGGGGCTGCCCGGGGGCTGGGAGAAGGGCCCCTTCCCTTTGCGCTTCCTGCCTGGTTGGTAATATGCCCCCGATGCACTAAAATATGCTCTCATTCGCTCCTGGACTGGCCCTGAAGTGAGAAGGTGGTTATTTAAAGAGAACTCCCTATTTATTTGACAAGAATCTAGTTAATATATTAATGTGAAATAAAACCCTGTTTGCACCTTGATCTGTTTGCTGAAAATGTGAAGTAGTAAAAATGGAGTAACGACTACCTGGCTCTGTGTGGTGGGAGAAGAGCTGTCTGGCTCCTGAGGGTGGGGGGAGGCTTAGGGCCGCTCCCTCCCACGTGAGAGTCCCTTGTTCTCAGGCCCATCTGGTCGCCACTTGGCTAAGGCCTCGCCTCTCCTCTCCCGGCCCTCTCCTGCCTCCATTTCCACAGAAGTTGCTAGGCAACCAGGCCACACCCAGAGTCCGCGGGACCTGGCTCAAGCAAGGGCTGCTGCAGAGCCCAGGAAGTTCCTGGGCGGGAGGCCGTTGGAGGCAAGGCCTGGCCTTGGTAGGAGTTCCTGTGCCCTGGCTGCTGTACTAGCTTCACTCATGGAAGTGGGGCCCCAGGAGTCTCAGGAGGTGGCAGCTGACACCCTCCGGGGCATGTCGGGACTTGAGTGCTGGCCACCGAGCAGCGTGTACCCTCGTGAACCTCAGTGCCTGGGGGCAGGGGAGGCCAGGACCCCCAGGCATAGGCCTGAAGAGAGGCCTGGGCTCAGTGTCAGCGGGTCGTGGGTGCCTGGGAAGGTTCTAAAGTGTCCATTTCCTGTCCGTTCAGAGCCAAGCCGCCCTCTCAGGAGGGATGAGGCAGCACCACCTCCTGCCCCTTCCTTCTGGGCGGCCCGCTCAGAAGCTCTTGGGTTTGGCTAAACCTCCGACAACGGCGTTTGAAGGCACTCCTGACCCGTCGGGGTGGGGGCTGGGCCACAGGGCCGTCCCTGCCCGGCACAGCCTGGCCCTGTCACCTTGGAGGAATGTCACTTGTGGGGTGGAGCAGGCTGAACAGTCGCTGCCTGCTGGGGAAACACCCCTCTGGAGTCCCCACCCCCACTTGCACCCTCACACCAGGTCTGGGGCCCCCCGTTCAGAGAGCAACTGTGGGAGAGATCCCCTCCTGGCCCAGGTCAGCTTCACCAGTGTCAGCCTGGGCGCAGCACCTCCTGTGGCAGGGGCGGTGCCTGCTGGCCCCTGGCACCTCCTTGTGGGAGCGCTGGACCCTCCCCAGGGCCTCTGTGGGAGGGGGTGGGCTGGCCCTGCCCCTCAGGTCCACCTTCCCCTCCAGCACTGAGCTATCCCGGAAGGATCCCTCCCGAAGGAGGAAGGTGCAGGGGGCCTGGGCCAAGCTCCTTGCTGGGAAGCCCTGACCCTACCACCCCCGCCCGCCCTCCTCCCCCGGCCCTAGAAGAAGTGGCAGCTCTGGGACCGTTTGCATAATTCTGCGGCTTCACTGTCTTCACCCCGTGGCAGTGCAGAGCCAGCCACCATGGCGACACACCTCTCCCACTCCCAGCGGCGCCCTCCCCTCTTGCGGCAGGCTGTCAAGATAAGACGTCGCAAAGCCCAAGATGTGCAGGATCCCCTGCCCCAAATGGCTCAGGAGGTAGGAGTGAGCTCACCCGCCTGCGGGGAGGACAGCGGCCTGGGTGGGGCTCTGCTGTCTCGGGGTGCAGGAGCTGCTGTCTGGCCCCACCTCCCACAGGCTGGGACTGAGGATGAGGGCCTGGCCCGAGGTCCCCTGCCCCTGCCCTGGGCAGAGCCTTTGGGTCAGCAGACCAGGGTGGGCCACGTGGCCCTAGCTTCAGGTCAGGGGCCTGAGCCTATCTGCTCCTCCCTCTCCCTGTGCGGGGCTGACCCTTCCAGCCTGGCCACTCCAGCTCCAGAAGTGCTGGCCCCACTAGGCAAGGTTCTCCTGCTACAGGCTGCGGCCTGCGTGGACACCAGCCTACAGCCCCCAGGCCTGCCCGGCAGCACCCCCGAGTCTCCCACCTCCGCCGCTGGGCCTCACTTCCGCGGTGGGGTGAGGAGCACGGCCCCGAGAGATACGTAGTGCTGTTTCCTCTGGGGAAGGAAGGAGGGTGGGGGCACTGGCTCAGGGACCTCGTGCTGGGGCAGCTGAGTGCTGATGGACCCCAGCCGTGAAAGGCCGGGGGATGAGGAGGCTAGCTCGGAGGACGGACCCTCAAAAGGGCTGCTGCAGGAACAGGTGCGGGGCCTGGGGAGGGGCTGCGGCTGGCGTGCTGGCCCTCCGGCTTCCCTGGGCACGGACTCTGAGGAGGAGTTCCTGCCCGTGGGGCCTGGTCCTGGCCTCCCAGGACACCTGGATTTTATCTTGCTCCCCAGGTTGAGCCTCAGTCCCACCACTTCTCCCCTGAGGAGGTAAGAGGCGGAGTGCTGGGGGAATGAAGAAGTGCTGGGGAGATCCCCATGAATGCCACCCCCAGCTGCTAGCCAAGACCCAGGGCAGCGGCTCGGCAGGGGGTGGGGAGGACTTCTGGGGGTCAGCCGCCTCCCCTGACACACAGGGATTTGTCCCTGCTCTGGGGTTGGTGCCAGGGTGGCCGGGGGCCCAGTGCAGTGGGAGGGTGGATGGGAGGGTCCTGAGGTCACCCTGCCTCGTCTCAGCGGACCCTCCTCTATGAGGAAGCTCTCTACACGGTCCTGCACCGCCTGGGCCAGCTGGAGCCCAACCATGTGGCCGAGTCCTCGGAGCTGCTGCGGTACCTGCAGGAGGTGAGCCAGTCCCCGCCCCAGCCACCCCCCAGCCACCGTGCGCTCACGCCCCAGCAGCCCACAGGCACCCACCCGCCTTCGCCTCCCCACCAGGCCTTCCACCTGGAGCCAGAGGAGCACCAGCAGATGCTGCAGCAGGCCCTGGAGCTCGAGGTGACCCCGGGGGTGAGGGATGGCAGGGCCTGAGGAGGGGGCCGAGGGGGCCAGCCCCTCTGATACTCAGGGCTCCCCCACACCCCATCCCTCCAGAAGCCGATGTTCTTTCTGAAGGCCACAGTGAAGCAGGCCAAGGACATTCTGGGCAAGGATGTCAGTGGTGAGTGGGGGCGGGGGGCTCCTTCCTCTCCCATCGCAGTGCGGGAGCCCCTATTTCCCAAGCGTCCCCCAGGGCCTACCTGCAGTGCCCTGGCCCCTTAGACTCAGGAGTCTGGGAAGGGGAGGGCTCCGCCCACCCGCTGTTACCTTCCCTTCCCTCTCCCCAGCAGGGGGCTCAGCCCAGGAGGTGGAGGGCCAAGAGGGGCTCTCCCAGCGAGCCCAGCCAACTCCTCGGCTGCCTCTCTCCCGCAGGGTTCAGTGACCCCTACTGCCTGCTGGGCATCGAGGAGGGCGTGGGCATGCCCGGGGGCAGCGCTGGGGCCAGGCGGCGGCAAAAGGCTGTGGTGAGGGACACCATCCCGGAGGAGCAGATCCATCGCACCCAGGTCATCACGCAGACTCTCAATCCCGTCTGGGACGAAACCTTCATCCTGTACGTTTCCTGCGCCCCTCCCCCGTCCCCCCTGCTCCCTGCCTGGGACTACTGTCAGTGTGGGGTAGTGCCAGGATAAGACAGCATCTTCCTGGCTTGGGGGAGGGGTCCGGCACTGGGCGAAGACTGGAGAAGGGCCCTGCTCTCGGGGTTTGGTAGACAGACAGCTGGCCTGACAGGCGGGGCAGGAAGGGTTGGGGCCCAGGCTGGGTTGATCTGGGGGTAGCCTGAAGCCTCGGCTTAAAGGAGGCACGGATGCAGTTGCAGGGGAAGCTGGACAGAGAGGTGCTAAGACTCCATGGTGGGTGATACTGGGGATGGGAGCAGTTTGAGGGGACAGGCTCTGGGCTGGGGGAGCGTGTGGCCTGGTCGGGGCCACCCCTCCAAGGGCCTCATGGTGCTCTCTCCTCCCTGCAGGGAGTTTAAGGACATAGCCAATGCCAGCTTCCATCTGGACATGTGGTGAGCAGGCATTCCTCGCCCCAGGGATGGGGACCAGAATGTGCAGTGGGGACGAGGGTGGCAGGGCCTCCTCCTGGAAGGGGTCATGGGCTCTGAGGATGCCCTCTCCGCCTCCTGCTCAAACCCCTGCCCCCCCAGGGACATGGACACGGTGGAGTCCGTCAGACAGAAGCTCGGGGAGCTGACGGACCTGCACGGGCTGCGGAGGTGAGCACCGCGGACTGCTGGGAGGAGGGAGCTCTGCCTGCCCCACAGCTCCTTCCGCACAGGGTCTGCAGGCTGTCGGGCGAGACCCAATGCCCTCCTGGAACCTCTCCCTGGAACAGGATCCTTAAGGAGGTCCGGAAGGACAAGGGCCAGGATGACTTTCTGGGGAGCTTAGTTCTGAGACTGCAGGTGAGTGGGGTGGAGAAAGGGGCCTGGGGAAGGGGGTGAAGGACTCCGGGGAGGGGCCTCAGTCTGCACCAGGGGAGCCTGGGGTCAGCCTCCTGTCGCCTCCCTGCCCCCGACGTGGTGCAAGGCTCATGCTGCTTCTGGCTTGGGCATCTCCTGCCTGCCCTGCCCACCCGTGCCCCCTAGGACCTGCACTGCCGTGAGGACCAGTGGTACCCTCTGGAGCCCTGCACGGAGACCCACCCAGACCGCGGCCAGTGCCACCTCCAGTTCCAGTTCATCCACAAGCGGGTAGGCCTGCAGCCTGGGCCAGGGACCTGGCTGGGTTGGAGAGAGCAGGCTGCACCCGGGATGCGCTACTCTCTGCTCACACCCATGCTGTTCCCTTGCAGAGAGCCACTAGGGCCAGCCGCTCGCAGCCCAGCTACACCGTGCACCTCCACCTTCTGCAGCAACTTGTGTCCCATGAGGTCACCCGGCACCAGGTACTGCCCTCCCAGGGCTGGGCGGGGCCAGGGCCTACTGTCAGGTCCTGACACCTCTCCACCCATCTCCCTTAGGCGGGTAGTACCTCCTGGGACGGGTTGCTGAGTCCCCAGGCTGCCACCATCCTCTTTCTCCACGCCACGCAGAAGGACCTGTCCGACTTCCACCAGTCCATGGCGTGAGTGCACAGCCCCGCCCAGGCCACCTGGGCAGGCCATGTGTGCAGCCGCCACCCTCTCCCAGCCACCTGCCCTCCCGTGGACCAGCTGTTACCAACTGGCAGCCCAAAGTCTAGCTCTCACGAAAGTCCTGTTTGGCCCAGGAATGAGTCACCAGCTTTTAAAAATCAGGAGATTTCACGTACAGGTCCAGGTTGCTGTATTCTTATGGAACACTGGAATTGCAGAGCCAGCATTTTGCTGACCTGTAACTGTCCCCGTTTATCACAGTTGCCATTGGGTCACTCACTCCCAAGCATTGGAGTGGAAGGTGGAAGGGGACCGGGGGAGAAGGACACTCCAGGGCCAGGGCAGCGTGTGTGCCTCTAGGACAGTAGGCAGAGAGGTATTTCGGGGTGGGATCTGGTGCAATGGCA